TTTTTTGTATAGAAGCCCAGATTACATAAACATATAGAGACAACAACTAGATCAATAGATTCACAGAGACGTGGCAGGAGAGGCTGGCAGGAAATGAATGCGGAGCTAATAACAATGAGTACAAGGAAGAAGAAATGTCCTGGAATTGATAGTGGTAATGTGTGCAAAACTATTATGAATGTGATCAATCAAATGTATATGTGAATTGTATGTTGATGAAACAATTAAAATTAAACAAATTATTAAATAGAGTTCAACCGGCTTCTTGAATTGGGCATTTCTTGGTCACTACACAGCTCCAGCTAAAGCCTCTGATTCTGCTGTGAAGTCAGATGGCATTTCTAAGCCCACTCCTTTCCTATTGTTCTGAAGTGGACATATGCCTCAATTTCATTCAATAGGGGAAGTCTTTTTTGGAGACTTCTAGAACAAATACATACCTTCTGTGGTGAAGTGAAATTACTCGGTGTGGCTCTTCTACCCATAGTCTTTGTAATTCTGACCAAATGATTGGGTGGGACATGGAAATAGCATGCATAGAACTAATATCAGAGGATGGGTCCATTTTTGCCATTTCCAAAGGCCTTCATCAGACCTTTTGACTTGCTTCCTGCCAATATAGCTCTTCAACTTCTCTCACTTTCTTAGATGTTTCATGTTCACTCACTCTCTCTCCTCTGTCCTCTCATTCAAGCTAGTCTTTCTGGTGGAAAACTTCCCTCCCTTCTCTCTACCTCATCATCTGATTAACTACTAATCATCAGGTTTCCACTCCCAAACCCCTTTCTATAGGAAGTGCTTCATAATCTTCTATCTTCAAGTAGATGCTCCTTTTGTGCCAATTAGGGTACTCCTGCTGTAAGTTAAAAGGTGGCCAATTTGAGGGGCAGGTCCTGGTCTCCTTTCACATCTGTGGGTCCAACATTCCTTGGAGATCTTCATGTGTCTTGACATTGATCTTCCCCTTGGTTTAGGAGGTTCTCAGCACAGGGACCCCGGGACCAGAGAATGTGCTTCATCTCTGCTCTTTCTCCTTCCTGGTACTGAGGTCCCTCTGATTTCTGCTCACTTGTTTAATCTCTTTTGTATCTTAGAAGAGATTAAGTCAAAATACAACCTAATCTTGTAGATTTTATCCTGATTCGTGGTCATAACTGTCTCTAATCCTGTCTCATTAACATCATAGAGATTAGGATTTGCAATTATATCAGTCTACAAACTGCTGGATAATTAATACTGAAAGTCATGACCTAGCCAAATTGACACTTTGAGGGGACACAATGCAAAGCACTGCTTCCTGGTGAATGAGCTGAGAAGAGGAGAGAATGTAGGGTATCCAACTGAAGGTTATGTTTACAGACCAGCAACAGCAGCTGACATTGGTTTGGACTGGTGGTGCTATTAGAGGAGGCGGGAGGAAAGCAGGCAACTCAAGAGATATTAAAACAATAGGATGATAAATCTTGGCATCTGGTTGTGAGGGATGATGAAAGGAGTCAAGGATGGTTCTTAGATGTTTGATTTGGAAACTGAGCAGGTGCTGGTACCATTTACTATTAGGAAACACATGAGAAGCGAGCTTGGAACAGATGGAGAAAATGAGCTCAGTTTGAGACTTACTGTCTCTGAAATAAAACATTCAGGTGGAGATGTCCAGTAGGCAATTGAACATACAGGTTAGATGGGAAGATTTGGGTGGGAGAAGTAGATCTTGGAGTTATGATGTGTAAATGCCATTAAAACTATAAAAGCTGAGGGTTTGCC